GCGCCCCGTTGGGGCGCTGGCCCCCTGGGATGGGGCCGTCTCTCCACAGCCCTGGCAGCGGGGACCGGCCGCTCCGTGGTGCTCCTCGCCGGGCCGTTGAAAGCGAGCTGACTTTTTCTCCTGCAGTTCTTATGCCATTGTTGGATCACTGCAGCGTGCAGCCTGATGCCAGGGTCGCCTCCCATTCCTTTTTCGGGCTGAATGCTCAGATAAGGTAAGCCCTGGAGATGTTCTCAGTAAAGAGAAGGAATCGATTTTGCCGGTAGCGGGGCTTTTGCTTGCTCAGGCAGCTAATGGAGTTACAAAGCTGCGGAGGAGAATATTTGCTTTTCCTGAGTAGGCTGTTAGATGCTTTGATAATGGATTTCCATAATGGCCAGCAGATAATGCTAATAAACCCACCTCACCTTAATGTGGATGGGTCAGAAGTTCATTCCGAAGCTTGTCGGTACATGTAGTGAGAGAGAACAACGTGTGCGTGCTCTCGGGGCAGGCCGCCTCCTGCCAGTCTGGATTGCCCTGACATGTGGTCCTCCTAAATGCACGAATGGTCTCCCCCTCGGGTCAAGGCAGCATTAACTTTCATCTCATGGCTATGCTTATCCCAAAAATAGACGGAGTCAGAAAAACTGGTGAAGGTAGACGGAAACAGCAAAGGAGGGAGCCTGCGATTCCTCTCTTTGTGTTCTCACGCTGAAGCACAGTGCAGAGATGAGCCCTTGCCAGCCCGTGCAGGGACCTGCAGGCGGGAAGGAGGAGAGTGCCCTGAATAACAACTGTCTCCTGTAGCCAGCCTCCCGCCTTGAACCAGCTGACGTCCCTCTACGTGGGAAGGACTCACTCCCTGTGGAAGGACCCGGCCGTCATGGCGTGGCTGGAGACCAACGTCCACGAGGTGCTGCGCATGGTGGATGCCCGGGACCCGCTGGTGGAGGAGTCCGAGCACAAGTGAGTGCGGCAGGCGGAGGTGAGCGGCTCTCGCACCAGGCGCGGGTGCTGGGACACGGGGACGGAGCGGGCCGGGGGGGCTCTGCGGACGAGAGGGGAGCTCTGGCCTGGGCTGCAGCGGCACCGGGGCTTGCTCAGAGCCCCACGACTGCCGATCTGATGGCGGCTGCTGATGCCAAGGGCGCCAGGAAGGCAGAGGTTCTCCTTCCCTCCTTTGCACAAGCACGAATTAAGAGCTTCCCCCAGCCTCGGCCATCGTGTGCGCCCTGGAAATTGCCTGGGAGGGCGGAGGGGTTGCCGCTGGCTGGGAGAGGCAGGGATGGCTGCACGGCTCACGGGCCTTTACTGCGCAGGGCAGGTGGGGGCTCAGAAATGGCTTCCAGCTCCGAGAAGCAGGAGAGAGAGGCATTAGGTCTTGTCCTAAACCAAAGTTAGTTTACTCTGCTGACCTGCAGAGGAACGGGGCTGGTGAGGGAGGTCTGCGCGGCGTCCCTGAGCTGTTCCGCTCTGTTTTCATCTGAGGTTAGCAGCAGCCAAGTGACTTTGGCTTCGCCAGCTCTGTCCGATACGGCGTGTCCCCCGGGACAGGGATGCAGCTGACGATGCACCTAGAGAAGCAGAAGTGGAAAGCTGGCTATGCCGAGGCGTGCTCAGTGCAATCCTCTGTCCCCCTCCCTACCTTTTAGGAGGAAGATGCGGTACCAGAGCGCACCCAGGAATATCTACCGGCACGTCATCCTCTCGGAGATGAAGGAGGCCACGGCAGCTCTGCCTCTGGTGAGGAGCCCTGGCAGGGCGCAGGCGGTGCCACGGCGCGACGGCCCTCACGTCCCTGCCATGTATACAGAGGCCGGGCACGTCTTAAACCCCGGCCACCAGCAAGAAACACCCGCCTGACCTCAGGGGATCCTCCCTGTGTGCACGGCTTCCCGGGGCGGCCCACGGGGGCACGTGCGGCCAGGCCGGGCTGCGGCTGGTGCCCGGCTCTGTTGCGCTCCCCGAGACCAAGGGCTGTCCAGCTGGTCTCGCCGACTCCATGCCTCGGTGTTTGCTGCTGCTGGCGACGCAGCCTTCACCCCTTCTTTCTTCTCCCCCTCTGCAGGAGGTGACCTCGCAGCCCGTGATGGGGTTCGACCCCTTACCTCCCTTGGACTCCATCGTTTCCTACACCAGACCAGAAAGGTACCTTCTCCAGCCCTCCTTTCTGCGCCGGCACAGCCGGCGTCTTCCCGGCGCACCCTCAGCCCCGGGCCTGGGTGCACACAGGCGCTTGGAGCTGACATCCTCCTCCATCCTGAGCAGCCTGGCTTGTGGTGCTTGCCGACAGGCAGAGCCTGCAGGCAGGACTGGCACTGCCACTTTGCCTCGGTGGTCACCGCTGGAGACGGAGGCTGTGCACAGCCATTAAGGCAAAGGCCACTGAAATATTTTGGCTGTTTCTTAACCGAGGTGGTTTGGAGTAAATACAGGTTTAAGCACAGCCAGCCGTGGTGTGCAGACCGTTCAGGTGGAGCCTGTATGTCTTATGCGCCGACCCAGCTCAGAGCAAACGTGGCAGTGCTTTCAGTGCCTGCTGTGCCCGGCGGTTGTCAGCTGCTGGCTGCCGGGGGTACGAAACCCCTGAGAATCCCCCGATACCCTGCTTCGGGACTGGCTCGGGAGGGGCCCTGTCGTGGTCCAGACGGCGTGGTTCTCTCTAGCACCTCTGCCCTGCCTCAGCCCCAGCGAGATGTCGAGTGCCAAGCCGCCCCCTTAACTGTGGTGTGACTTCTGTCTTTCAGAACGAATCATCCATCCAACGAAAGCACTTTATCTCTCTTCTTCCGCTCGCTGCTGCCAAATTTTAACTTGCAGGTATGTGCAGAAGTTTCCACTGCACAGTGTTTTCTGCAAAGGGAGTGGCTCTTGGCATAAGCAGTGTGTAAACGTCAGGTTGCAGAACAGCCTGATGCTTTTTAGCAAGCGGTGTTGTCTCTCTCCCTGCCTGCTGCAGGCAGCTCCCTGCCCGGCCGCTCCAGCTCTGCTCTCTTGCAGGGGGACATCAGGCACGATGGGGATGAAGAGGCCGGAGCAGGGCAGGACCTTAACCAGGGGGTGAACAGGCTCATGGCAGCCATGCGGGACATGCTGGCGAACATCCAGTTTCAGGAACCCCCCCGAGATGACAATCCCGAAGGCGACGGAGACTGGGACTGAGCCGAGTGCGCGTCCCCCGCCCCACCCCTCTGTAATCACCCCCCACCCCCTGTCCTGCTCTAATAAAGTCTCAAACCCACGGCGTCCGCTCTCACGGTGGGGATGGGCTCCGTCCGGGGTGGGGGGCTGCCGCCGCCGGCACCTTTCGCATCTCTCGGCGGGGGGCAGAGCTAATCTACAGCAGCTGTCCCTCGGCCCCGACTCAGCTTAGTCCCCTTCTGGCCTCCTCCAAGCACATTTGCTGTCCCCTTCCCCTGTCTGCTCTTCTCGTGTTTAACGGCCGGAGGGGTTTTTTTGCCCACTCCCGCGGCTCTTGTGCCTCCTTCCCTCCACCAAACCTGGTGATGATGAAGGGCTCAGGCTTCCCCCCTCCCTCCTTTCCCT